CTGAAAAGAACTAGAAACTGAGAGGTAGCAGTGGAGTTGTAGCAAGGTTCAGACTGTGCTTTAAAAGGCTAGTTACTGCAGACATACATGTTTCTGTATATGTAAAGTATGGAAACATGAAAAACAGGCTTCCATTGATAATTAATTCTTTTCATTAAAACCACTGGTATCTGCCACCAGAAAAATGGACCTTTATGAAATTAAGGTTTTTTTTCTTACCGATATTTCTAAAAGCAGTGTAGCTGTGTGTATGATCAGCTGTATGTAAGCATCTTTGCTGCGAGTATAATTTTGAAGGAATCCTTCTGCGCTGCAGAGATGCATTTGCAGCATGCTGATGTTAATATATGGGAGAACTGGTGATCTCTTGACAGATACAGCTACTATTTTTTCACTTTTGTGCAGCAGTACACTCAGTTGTACTTCAGTGCAGACATTTTGTTCATGTCTCCCTTAATCAGCATGGATTAAAGACAAGGTTCTTAAATGTGTGGGAGATCTCGAGGCTGAGCTGTGAAAGAATAGTGCTGCTGCCACTGAGTTAGAGTTTAAAATCAGTCTTCTATTTTCATAGATGTGAGCTGAGGGAGGGCTAGCTCTGGCATTAGCTGGACTGTGATTTGAAAAAGCACAAACAGTTTTCCATGAAACTGTAATTTAGAAGGGTCTGCTCTAGGTACATCTTATAAGATATTTGTGCCAGCTTACGCTTCTTACGCTGCCTGATGTGAATAGGGAAAGCTTTTGTCACGTGCTTTGTTGACCTGCAGGTATTTGTGAGCCATAGCTGCAGAGCTTCCTTAGCACCTTCACTGCACACATCATTCCTTGTAACGTATTCTAATGTACAATATACACTCCTCTAGCTGTTACTTAGTCCACTTTGAAGGAGTCTGTCAAACTGTTTCTCTGTGAATTTTTTTGGGGGTGGGGTTTGGAAAGCTTTTTGCAGTCCCATTTTTTTCACTTCGTCTTGCTAATTTTAATCTATTAAGGTATTCAGCAAAAAGCAGAGACTAGGCTTTGGCAGTTAAAATATTTTGAGCACCTTCTTTAAAGTTGATGTTCATTTTAATAAAGGAAAAAAGTGATCCAGAATGGCAAAAGTGACTCAAACTGTTTAGAGATTGTCATATTTTAGTGGTTACAGCATGGTGGATTTTCATCATTGATAGCTCTGTTTTGAAGAGCTGAATGTTCATTTGTAATTCTCAGATTTGTGTATTGTCTCACATGTTTCTGTATGTGACTTTATACAGGTAACACATCTCCCCCAACCTGAGTAATGAGCAGTAGCCTGTCATTTCTGTGCTGTTGTTCTGCTGATATTCTATAATCATTACTTGCTTTGTAGTCAGGCTGTGACTGCATAGGTGTAGTGATACTCCTAGGCTTGTTTTGAGAACTTTCCCCCCTCCCCACTTCCCCTGCCCTGCAAATTTTCTAGGCCTTTTACTTAGGAAACAAGGGTACAGTCTGCTATATTAGGTTCAAAGTCCCCAATTAAATGGGTCTTGTTCTACCTTTTTTATATGACTATTAAAGACTTCTGAAGAGAGGTAGGTTTTAGTTTCTTTCTTTTAAGCTTTTTGATCAAGCTTTTAAACTTTGTGTAATGTAGTCAATTTAGATCAGAATCTTCAGTTTCTGCATATAAGAGTGGTTATTTAATTTCTTTAATTTTTTTTCTTCATTTGTAGATAATTGGCTGCCACTTTAGGACGATTCCAGTGAATGAAAAGGACACCTTAACATACTTCATCTACTCAGTGAAGAATGACAAGAACAAACCAGATCTAAAGATGGACAGTGGGGTTCATTAGACAGAAAAGGTTGGGACTGGGACTCAGGCCTCAAATCAAAAAACTGAGGGTTTTTGTTGATATGCAAAAGCTTTCTTTGTAATTTTTTTCCCCAGAGAGTTTGTCTCTGTTTTATTTTTCGGAACCTTGCTGATTTGTTTGAAGACCACCTCTTAGGAAACAAATTTCCTCAGCAAAAGTATTTTAAATAAATATCACTGATATTGTTGCTCAAGTGGGTGTGTCTGTAACTTATTTAGTGAGTTACTTGTACCTAATAGTTAAGCTTTGACTAATTATGTAATAATATTAAAATATTTTTCAATTAAAGTGTGCCAAGGATATATTTATGAATGTATTTCAAGTTCTTGTGATGTAATGCCTTAAAAAAAAAAAAGCTGTAGCAGACTTGGCAATAGGTTCTTTTTGCCTAAGTTAAAAAGCTTTAAATGACAGTTCCAGTTGTTTGCTGGGCAGAAGTGGCTGAATAATGTTTTCTTTTTTCCCCCTTTGAAAATAAGAATTGATGGGAGGTTTGACTTGTTTATTCATCTTGTCATTTACTGGGATATGTGCTTCCAAGCACCAAGGCCTTCCTGCTCCTATATTAAAATGGAAAAAAAATGCAGCTCTCAAATTTCAAAGCTTTAAGTATGAATGAAAAGACTGCTGCAGCTTACTGTGCTGAGAAATCCTTCCACTTGGTAAGAAAGCCTTTAGCTGCTGACTTTTCTGTTCATCTGCATAGACTGTGGCTAAGAACTTAACTGGAGAATGGAAGACAGAGTTTGTGCTGGGTCAATACGGTATCTTCCAATAGGCATTCTATTTTTTTCTCATTGCATGTGTTAGGCTGATTTAAAAAAAAAATAAAATAAAAACCAACCCAAAACTTATTGTGAGAAAAATATCCAGCAATACTTTTGCTTTTAATTGCATATCTTAGTAAAGTCTGATGTTGAAGATGACATTATGTATGACTTCTTGCATTGTTGTTTAACTGTTGTGCCAGTCTAAGTGTGTGGTATATGGAATATGATTTCTTTCAGCTTTAAGCTGTGCATATAGGTTGAAGAAAAGTCTTCTCTTAAAGAAGATGAGGACACAGCTTCAGCTTGTTCAGTTAGCATTTGTTGCATCTTTTAACCTTATCAGATGTTTAAAAGCTTTTTCTTAATTTGAGAAAATGAGAAAGTATTTCTATGGTCTAATCTGCTTTATGTTAGTCTTGTCAGTTTTTTGAAAACTTGCGGTCATCGCTGCTCCATTTTGCTTTTTTAACCCCTAACACGTGTGTAAAACTGAATGTTGGTAAACCCTAACCTCAAACTGGCTGCCTTCCCAGTAGCTCTCAGTGGCCTGATTTCTTTCACTTGCAGTGTCTTGCGTATTACATCAACAAATTTCTGCAGTGTTGGCCTAACTTCAAGATGGTTAGTGATGTCTAGCTAGTGGCAGCTAAAATTGGTATTCCTTTGAAGAGATGTTTTAGTGCCCATTTCACTACAGTGACTCTAAAGTTTGCTAAATAGCCTTTGCACAAATTGAGCTTGCCATCTTCAAAGTGCTAGTTGGAGAAACAGCCAAGGGACCTGGTCACAGATAGGACACCTGAAGGAGAAAGGCTTTTTCTCTGAGTGTGTGGCCGGGGTGAATGTTCTCACCTAGGCCTGGCAGGACCTAGAGAAGCAGCTTTGGTAGGAAAGGAGAGTGGGGAGAGAAACAAGCAAGTTTCTATGGGAAATCAGTCTCAAAGTAGTAGTTTAAGTGACCTTATCTTGCTGCACGTAGAAAGTGACAAAATTTTTCTCCAGTCAATTATGGATTTTTCCAGGAGTGGTGGAAGGAAAGTAACTGAAAACCACCTACTGACTTTACTACCCAGATTTTCATCTGCCTTCATTTTTTTTATTTTTTCTGCTGCTGCTTTGGAAGCTGTGAATGCCAGGCATGCAACATGATTCATGTAGAAACTAGATGGCACAACCAACTGGAATTATGTGGCCTCGTTAACTGCTAGAAGCAGATACTGTATGTTTTCTTAGCAGAGCACTGACTTTGGATATTTTGACTGCATTGCTAGATTTATGGGGATTTTTTTTTACCCTTAATTGATAATTTGGAAGAAGCTCAAATTACTTGGAAATAATTACACAAACCAGGCTTAAAAAGCCTGGTGACATAAACTGTTTAACAGCCAGAAGCCTAAAAATTACTTGGCAAAAATAGTACACACAGATTTACTTGAAACATTTATTATTAGCTATGTATAATAATTCTTCTCCCTGACTATCCAACTCCTGTTTACTAACAGAGGGAGAAAAACATCATCGTGATATTTCATATTGCATTTGAAATAAACTGATGGTAGCAGTTTTTGTGGTGTAATGGTGTAAGATTATTAGATGAACAGTACACTTTTTAAGTGGAGAAGACTAAAATAGTTACTTCGGTACTACACACCTTCCATGTGACTGACTTGACAGCTGAAGAGTTTTTATATGTAAGGTGATAAACCAGGCTTACTGCCTCTAAACCTGGCTTGTTCAAGTGGCTTTCCTTAAACTCACGAAGAGATGTACATTTTTTGCTTATTTTGTTTTTCTTGTACTGTAATCAGTATTGGCAGGTGTTGAGAGGTGACTGCTTATCTACAGCCTAGATCACGATACCACTTAAACATTAACATGATCGCATCTGTTATTTTGAGATCCCTCTTTATCTTCACTTCCCTAGCTATTTTCTTACAGGGCTAGCCTAAAAATAAAAAGACTCTTATGTTGCCTTAACAGATCTTGCATCAGTCTCATCTTTAGATGTTTTTCTGAATATATATATACATACACACGCACGCTCTTGTAACTGTTCTAGTGTTGTTCAATGTTAAGATTAAACAATTTAAGTTTTCACAGATTGCATAGTTAATGCAGGTGACCAGTTAGACCTAATTAAGACCTAAATGTGCTTTAGTACTATTAATGTGAGTTCTGACTTTTTTTTTCTCAAGTTAAATTTTCAGATACAAATGGTGGAAGTTTGCCTTTGTATATGCATCTATTTTAAGATGCCTAAATAGAACATTGGAGCCTGTTGGCAGAATTGCTAGGGACTGAGTAGCTTCAGCTTAAAACAGCATTAACTGTGGGATGGCAATAAAGCAATAAGAAGCTGCACTGTTGTAGATTGCTACGAGAGTTGCGCTCCTAATGACATGAAGGCTTAGTCTTGAATTTACTTTGTCCAAACTAGTTAAGAATGTTGTGTTGTGTAACAAAAGTTTAGTCTTTTACGCCATTATGGAAATTAAGTCAGCTACCAAATTTGAAAGGAGAACTTCTTACATAGTTGAGATTCCAAAAAGATATAGAAAGGACATTTTTCTACAGTGTAAAAAGAGGCACTGTCTTGTGGTTAGAAAGGAAGTTTTTTGTTAGTAGTGATTCTGGTTTTTCCCTTGAAAACATTATTATGTGATTGTAGAATGATGTCTGTTGTCTTCACTGGCAGACTTGATGTCCATCACTGGCTGTTGCAGGGGATCATGAAAGATATCTTTGGTCCAAAGAAAATATTCCTGAAAGATATTACCAGATATTTAAATAATTAAATTATTACCTTACTGGAGCTTTAAGATGACATTAATTTCCAGTTATGAGGTTTTTTAAGCTTTTGGTGAGAAGTATGTAGAATTAGTGTCTTTGATGCCTTTCCAGCAATGCAAATGCAACTGCAGGTCTGGATGAAGATACTGCATTTCTACCTCTACTGTGCTGGTTTGGATGAGATGGCAAAACTTCCGTTGAGTGTCTGGAGTACCAGGACTCCACCCTGGTATTTCAGCTTTGAGAGAGTAAACTTGCCAAATGCATAGTATTAGAAAAATAAAGAGCTTCCGCATGTGTGAACATAGTGTTTAGTGCAATTTGTCCTGAGAGCAGATCTGCAAAATAGGTATTCTGTACCTCAGGATAGCTGAAGGAAGACCTCCTTATGTATTTCTATCAAAGTAAGAGACTTTATTAGGCTGCTAAAGCTCAGAGGTTGAAGCTAGAAACCCAAAGTGTGCTTCAGGGAAAGGACACCATATCTGGTTTTAGGGAAAATAAAATGTGGAAATCTTATTTAAACCCTGCTCTCAGTTTAAATGTGAAGTTTCTAGCTTCAGAAGTCATTACCACTTGGTTCAAATCTAGTCCCCTAGGGGAGTGCTGAAAAGTTGCCTTTTATTGGATTTTAAGGAACTTGAGAAATGGGTGGTGAGAGGAGCACATATAAAAAGTAATTTTTGGTTGCCTATATATTGCCATCACGTTTTAGCGTCCCTGAAGTATTAGTAGGTTTTGAAGTGTTGATATTTTTAATCTAAATTTCCTGAAGAAAGGATGTTGCTGGAAAGCTGAATGAAATAATACTACTTTAATACATTTTATTACTTCAAACCAGTATGGGCTGGTGGTGTTTATTAACTCAGTATTTATTTTGTTGGGATGTACATTTGTTCTGTAAAACAACAACAAAAAAAACCAGGTTCAGTGAGAACATTGCTCTTCAACTTCGTCAGCAGTGCCAGAGAGTCAGAGTTCTTGGGCCAAATCTTCTCCCTCCCTTTCAGGCATTTGTGAACCTGTGTTCCCCTGTGTTTGCTTTCCTACTTTTAACATCTGCCTTTATGGAATCATTTATTGAACTGATGTATATGCATATGCCTTAGAATAGCAATATGGTTCTTCACTGTAGAACAGAAATAAAATAGTTTTGTTTACAGTCCTGAAAACATCTTCCATGCAAAGTGCTGTGAATAAGGATTTGATGTGATTCTCACACTTAGTTTAGATCAAACAGAAGAGTCAAAAGTTGGGTGATTTAAATGCTAAGTCACCTATAGGAGAACATTCAGGTTTCCAAAATATGCTAAGCAAGTAGCCCCTGAAAAGCAAAAACTGAAAACTGGCAGTGTATCAGGTAGTTTGCTATATATATAATTTCAAACCATCTGAAGTGATGCATTTCTTTCAAATGATAGCTTATACCTCCAGTGGAAACTGTAAAATGATGGAAATATAATGGGTAGTCATATAGAAGTGTACAAATGTGTATGAAATGAGTATGGTCTTACTTTGGACAGCAGAGCAATTCATTCAAGTTGCAGTAACAGATCACCTTGCAGCCCTTCCCTTCCCAAAAGTGATCTTGCAGACCATCATCAATTTGACGAAGGTTCTCTGCACCTTCAGGGATGCTCTGACAGTTCCGGTCTTTTAGGGCCCTCTTGTAACAAGAGGGATGCTGGGAAGGCACCGCAGGGGTACCCAGGAGGGTGCCCAGCAGAAGCAGAGCCGAGACCATCTTCATTTTCGTGAAGCTTCCTGGAGCAGGGTGCTAAAGAGAAATGAGGTATGTGACACAGGTATAGCTGTTGAACAGATCTCTTTCCCCAGTTTGCTTTCTGGCTTGCATTTTTCTTTTCTTTCCTGTGAACTTTTGGAGATTTGAGCCTTAGTGCTGGTGAGTTTTTTCTCCTAGGAAATAAATAACATTGCAGCAGAATTGATATTCATTACTTTCTGTACAACCTTGGGAATCCTTTCATCAGGAATTGAGGCTTTTGTTGCTGGCAATTCTGTTGTTTCTTTGGCCTCTCACCTTGATAAAATTGCTTTGAGCTGGCCATGTTTTCTCGGTGGTGTAAGTGAATGTATTGATTGCTACCAAGTCAGGGGAAAATGTCCAGGTGCGTTTTTTTACCTTCCTGGCCATTTTGCTTGTCGAAACAAGAGTCACTCGCATAAAAATAACAGTATCTTTCCCCAGAAAAGTTGTGCAAAAGCTGCCAGCCAATTGAATCCTTTGTTATGGGCTACCCGAGAAACTGAAGCGTTAAACAGCACAGGAGGCTGAAGCTCTCTGGCAGGGCTGCCAAACACCACTGGCCCGAACTGCAGGCTCTGGTATCATACAGCATGGCTGAGAATTTTCTCTTTTTTTAATTTTTTTTTTTTTTTAGTACTGTTTAGCTGAGTCTTGCTACAGGAGGTCATTATGGTTTCATTGATGCTGCTTTTTAAAGGATGGGACAAATTATCCCTTGCAAAACTGCTTTCAGTGATTAGGCTTTCCATCGTCTGCATGAGCTTGTTTAATGCTAGCTCTGCTATTCTGTGGTGCTTTGTATAGAGACATGCCACCGAGTTTTGGATAAGACCCTTGAACTTGCGTTCACTTTTAAATTAACATTTTGAACAATGCTCCAACCTAGACTTTATTGGTATTTAGGAGAGAGAGAGGATTTTTTTACTTTTGCTCATGCTTGAATGAAAGGGGTCTGATAACTTACTGAATTTAAATACAAATTCTGCTTTGAAAACTAACCTAAAGCAATGGCCAGCTCTGCCCAGCATGCTGCCCCTGAGTGTTCCTTGCTGTTCTTGTGTTAGCCTCAAGGAAGACTTTCCTGCCCTTCTTCCTGTTGGCACTTCGGACTCGATCCCCCAGTATCACATTGTTGTGGGCTGGTTCTAGTCTTTCTTGTGGGGCTGCAGAATAGAGGTCTCTAGACTAACCTGAAGATAACTACATATAAAGCAATGTCTGCCCAAAGACTATCAGAGGCCAAGTTAAGATGGCAGAGCTATTTAGATAAGAAAAGAAAAAAAACAACAAAGGCATGCCAGCTATAGAAGTCAATTAATAGAGTCCTACTTAAGTTACTTTGTAAAACTCTTGAGATCACCCTTGAAAAAGAAACAATAATATATTAAATATATAAAGTTAATGTATTTTCTAGTAGTTTTTCCTGGGTAGTTTTATCATCACCATAGCTATCTTTCTGATCTACTTCTTCAGCCAATGCCAGAGACTAAGGAAATCTGGGAATTTGGATTCATATTAGGGATAAAATACTACACCTTGATGCCCTTCTATTACCTTCTATTTTACCATAGTGCAAACCTTTTTTTTTGAACACCGGTAGCCAAATAAATATTGGCCACTTTTAGTGGCCAATATGTTAAAGAACATGACTGAACTGAAAATAAGTTCTTGTGTGTTTTTTAACTTCTGTTGTAGGACAAAAATTCATCAAATGATTCCTTTTAGTTTCCATGAACTTGTATGTGAACTTTTGAGTAGGAGACTCCTATATAAACTAGTAATGGAGCCTTGGGGATCAATTTTTTAATTACTTTAGAGTGCACTATTGAATAACATACTGTCTTTATTAGTTTTAGACCTTAAAACTACTTCTCAAATAAGGTAAACATTGTTCTAACTTTGTCTGCTGCTGTTTTTTTAGACTGAAGTAAAAAATCTGTATTATTATAAAAATAGTTTTATTTTGTAGGAGTATAAACACTGCAGTTATGAGGGCTCTGCTTAGAGAAGTCTAATGCTTAAAGAGAACAAGTTTGTTTATACTATACCTTGATAAATGCCAGTGTCAAGGAGTACAATTTACATTCTTCTGTTCAAATAATTGAGCTTAATTGTTTAAGTATTTAATTGAATAATATTTCCACGAAAGAGAAATTTAGGAAGCAGGAGGTTTATGCCTTTGTTTGATGTGATTGGATTATTCTCTGAATTCTTCCCCTGAGGATGAGGCATTCATCATATCTTGTTTTTGTGTACTGTTTTGTAGGGTTTTCTAATTTATTTACTCCTTATAATTTGAGTGATCTTTCCCTTCCTGCTCAAAATTAATAGGAACTCATTCTGTCCTGAAAATAGGCATATTTTCTATAGACTGTCAGATTGCTGAATTCAAAAATTGCAACCTACAATTTAAGATAACTCATTACTTGCCTTGGATTATAGCAGGATAATGCTATAGTGCATCATTGAGAGGGTTTATACGAGTGGCTGCCAAAATCAGTATTAGCAAAGCCAGTATGCTGGTGAGCTGTGGATAGACAGCTTTGCTAACAGGTCAGTTACGCATCTTACCGATGCTCAGCATTGTTATTATTCAGAAAAAAATTATTATAATTTTATTTGTGCTTAAATATTTTCTCTGGGGTTTTTTTGGTTGTTTTTGTTTTGTTTTGTTTTTTGGGGGTTTTTTGGTTGTGGTTTTTTTTTGGGGGGGGGGAGGGTTGGGTTTTTTTCAGATCATAACCAGAAGGAAACTTTTGGTCAAAAGACCTTTCTTTTTCTCATCAGGGAAATGTGATAAACGAATCCAATCACTAGAGCAACCCAAAGACTCATTACCAGCAAGCAACCTCTTACATTTCTATTGTATAAAGCCTTCTGAAAAAGTGGCAATGCCTATCATGCTAAGCCTGACCAGGTTTCTCTACCGAGATTATATGGTTTCAAATTCTAACAGGAGTAAAGCCATCTAAAACTATATTTAAAATTAGCTCCCTGCATTTCCATAACTTGTTTTCAATGAATTACTTTGATCGCTTTGACATGGTGTAAGTAAAGTTTGAGAACAAGTGCTTTGAAATAATTTATAGAGTTTTGTGTAAAGGAAAATGGTTCATTTGGGAACATGCATGGCAAGTCAGGAATTGGTGCTATCCCTGCTTTTTCAGCTGAGAGTGTTTGAATTATCCTGCCAGGCAATTTGGCACCATATAGCCTTTGGATCCGCTAGATGCGGAGGTAGGCAGAAAAGACCAAAAAGAAAAAACCCATGTTTCAGCCTCCTTGTCCAAGAGCAATAGGGTAATATTGCATGAGAAGTGATGCCATTTAAAGGTGACGTGGTTAGTAGGAGCTCAGGTGTTAGAAATAGGGGACAGAAATAGGGAAAACTAAGAAATGGCATGAAATATGTATTTCAGTGCTTCTAGAGACCCTATATGTCTGGGGAAAAAATGTTTACGGTTTGGTCTGAATTACTACATGTACCCTTCAGAGTTACTAAGCAACAAAACAAAGGATAAATTAATTGGTACGCTTTTGGTGTATGATCTTTTCCAGTCTGTCCAGTGGCTTGTGCTGGGTTAAGAAGTTGAACTGAAAGTGAAGCAAATTTAATATATATTTGCTTCTAAATAAGTATTGAGTTCAAGAGCTAAAAATACCTACTCAAAATAAAACTACTTTTATTGGTTTTGTGTGTCAAGTTTTCATTCCAGAAACACCTATAAATGCTGAGCTACACATTTAGTATTTAGGTGTGTTAGTATGTAATAGTTAGGTTTATTAGTGCATTCCTAAGAAATCATTACACAAGAGCTGCATAACTTACATTATTATGATGAAGTTTTTTCCATACAAAAAAAAGAAGTTCCTTCAAATCTATTTTGCTTGAACAGTTGGTGTATTGTAAAGACAGCAGCTAGTCACTGAGGATGAATTCAGTGAATTACTGCTTTGTAATTACCATCAATACTGCGATTCTTTCCAGAAATTAAGTTGTCATTAAAACCTATTTTGTTTTCTTAAAGATGGCAATTCATTGTGAACACACCTCTCTCCAATTCTGCAGTATTATTGAGCACTGGAAGGCAAATATAGTATGTTTAATAACTTCAGCTGTTACTATGTAGCATCCAACTTGGAAGAAAAGCAAGTGAAGGAATCATCTTTAGCTGGATCATATCCATGCTTCTGTCTTGAACAGCATCTCTTGCCTACCATGTATCCGCATCTCCCAAATCTTCTCCTGCATGTTCCCATATATATTTCTAACTCTGCACTCTGTAACTAGCATCAACAGAACAAGTGCACAAGGATAATTTCAGGAGTAAGACGTACCTTTATTTTCTGCTTCGCTTCCTTTCCCTTTCTTGGCAGCTGTATCTGTTTAGATGTACCCAGAGAGTGCGAGAGCTAGTGTGGATGAGTAGAGGGAGGGCTGATGGGAGATGCTGTACAAACAGCCCTTTGTTTCTCCTGACTTCTGCCTGTGACTAACATGCTCTCTTCTCCAGCGAGGGACCAGAGGATGGACTTCAAGAGCTACCTCTTTCAGTCACTGACAACCTAGACTAGGAGAAAAAAAACGATGAATGTATCCTTTCCAGCGGGAAACTATTGATTCATCCAGGATTCAATGAGAAGGCATCTTCTCAAAGTGTAACATCTAGAAGAGGGGAAGAGGAAACACCCAGTGGAATATCTATGTCTTGCTGTGAAGCGTGAGCAGGCTTGGGGGGAGCAGGAAGAAGTGGGCTACCAAGATTGTGCAGGCAGAAGGATGTGGTTGCTGGACAGATACCTTATTTTCCATTGGGTGAGAAGAACAGACCTTGCCAACAATATCATGCAATACTTTAATTCCTGACTTTGGGAATATTTCAGATTTTTGAAACTGAGATAATAAAAAATCTGTAATTACTTTAACCAAACTGCTAGCACAGTATACTCAACGATGCCATGCATTGGGTTCCTTACTGACC